TTGATGACTTGAATTAAAACTAATCAAAACTAAATGTGTAGAATTTAAAGAGCAATAATCAATATGTCCTTCCTGAGCCCTGAAATATTTTACCAGCTTTCTCTGATGAAAACAAAATTAAACTTTTGAGATAATATCCATAAGATCTTCTAGCCAAACTGCATGGTCATGCAAAAAGTATTTATACCTTCTCTTTGGAATCTTCCCTTAGACTATTCATGTCTGTCTTTCAGATAGTCTCATCCCTAAAGGATCTACCTTGGCACAGCGTCCCAGACCACCTTTCTCCTTTCTTTAAACTCTAATAGCAATTAAACTCTGTATGACTAATTTTGACAGCTAATACATTTTATTTGACATTTTTATGTTCTGTGGCTCCTTCTTATCTTCCAATCAGACTAATCTCTCGGCAAGCAAGAACCATGTCTGACTCCTTTGTTCCTTCTTATAACGGGTTTCCATTTCATTGGTACCTAGTGCCGTCTGGTGACACACTGCAGCATTACAACATTGAATAATTGATGGTAAAAAGAGAGAGGGAGGAGGAGGAGGGGAGAAAGAACCTAAAATGTGGGAATGTCTCTCCTAGTATTCAGTTGTTCACCAGGTCTCACAATATATTCTGCATCCATCCTCTTTATTTTCTCACACCCTACTTTAGTTCTTTGTCTTTTGATACCTGGACTGCTTATTAGCTTCCTAAATATTTTCTGTCTCTATTAATATTTTCCTGGTAATTCTACCTCAATGCATCCATGCCTGAAAAGACGCAAATCAAGTTTATTATTTTTTTCATTGTCTTACTACATCACTCACTCCAAAATGGTATCTTTCTCTTTGGAACCTATTTTATTTTTACATCTTATTAAGAAATTGCTAAATATGATATGATAAATCTCATACTTTCCCACATTTTATATATTTTTAATCTTGAACATTTTTTTAACCTATCTCTATAACCACACTGCAAACCTAGTATGTTTCTTTTACGTAGTACATTTCCTTTAAATATTTGTTGATTTGATGTGTTAACTTGGGAAGAAAGTGAGTATTTGACCTTGTGTAGAATATACAAGACATCTTTGATACTCTGTGATAGACAAATAAATTCCAAGGTTTATCCACAAAGGAAACTGTGATTTATCTGAAGCAATCTTTAGTTTGGGCAAGCAAGATGATGTTAGGCTATATGAATTAATGTTATAAGAAGAGGAAGTCTATTTTTGTTGAGAGAGAAAATTTTGCTACATAACTGTAATTAGGGACAAATCAGAGATTAATGATGCATTATATTCTAGAGCTTTAACTAATAAGTACCAAGAAATAGGTTTCTCATTTTAAATGGTTTGCAAAATATTATTTCTGTACTTTGTTCCATGTACAGAAAATAATGGAAACTAGGACTGCTATTCAGAAAATTCAATGTTAATTCCAAAATGTTAATTGTTGAGTTATAGAAATATTTCATATACTCTAAAAGAGCATAAAATCTACCTCTACTAATTAGTTTCTGTATGAAAGCCTTCCAGACAATTATAGGGTAATACCACTGGTCAATGCTTTAGGTGCTTTTCATTAAAGGTATAGTGTTGCTACTAGATGAATTGCTTCATATAAAAGCACTTACCACAAAGCCCTATAATGGAAGGTTAAGTGCTATACTTAATTACTAATTTCAACTCTTATTACCTATATTTTGCAGTGCAGGCACTTTAAAAGAAACCAAATATTGTCTGCTGGTTTCTGCTTCTCTGATTATAGGATTTGGTTGTAAAAAGCATTAGTCTATCTGCTTTGCTAATGAATAATAACCAATAAAATATTTAATGAAAATAGCCATACCACAAACTGATACAAAAGACATATACTAGCCTTTGCTATTGAATTTGTATTTAAAAATCACTTTGTTATAAAAACTTTAATCTAGATGACACACACTTTAAAATTTGTATTCAGCTGTTATGGCACTGTTGCAGATGAAGCTTCCAAAAGAAAAAAGTATTTGAAATTTTCATGGCTTATTTCCTACTTAAGCATCAGGCTGAAATGCACACAGAATAGATGATTAATAAAACATTTGATGACAACAATGGTGACTGCTCTGAGTTCTTTACATATTGATCATTAATTTTTATACGTATATATAGAAAATCTTCATATGTGCTCCAATTTTCTTGAGAGCAGGCTCTTTGTTTTCCCTTGCTTATATATTTCAGAATAATTGCAATTTTTCCCACTCTTGATTTATTAACATTAACTGAAATACATCTTGGTAAAAGGGCACTTCGAATCTTCGACTAGATATTAAAGGTTGTGTTTAAAATAACCATTTCTAAAGATTTACTTCTTAATTATGATACTGGTCGCCTCTGATTTTTAAATCTTTTATATTGTATTTCTTATTCTGAACATCTACATCTATTTGATTGGTAAATAAAATATTCTATGTGTTAAACAAATACCAATCTAGAAAAATATCTACAAATATTTCTTCAAATAATTAATTAATAATGCCCCAATCTCAGCTACCAGTGTTCAAATTAGATATTAGCCTTCTAAAAGAATACAGGGACCAGGTCTTTTTTGAACTATACCTAGTATATGGTATCTGGGATGTGCACAATGAAATAAAATATAGTAAAATTGAGAGATATAGAAATTTTAAAAAACAAAATATTTACTAAAAAGTAATGATATATTAGAAACTAGGGTTTGATAATCTGTGCTTGGGTAATGAATCCTACTTTTCTCTTTTTAATAAAGTTAAGTCCAAGTACAGATTTTTTTTTTTTTTTTTTTTTTTGAGACAGAGTCTCACTGTGTTGCCCTGGCTAGAGTGCCGTGGCGTCAGCCTAGCTCACAGCAACCTCAAACTCCTGGGCTCAACCAATCCTTCTGCCTCAGCCTCCCGAGTAGCTGGGACTACAGGCATGCGCCACCATGCCCGGCTAATTTTTTCTATATATTTTTAGTTGTCCAGATAATTTCTTTCTAATTTTAGTAGAGATGGGGTCTCGCTCTTGCTCAGGCTGGTTTCGAACTCCTGAGCTCAAACAATCCGCCCGCCTCGGCCTCCCAGAGAGCTAGGATTACAGGCGTGAGCCACCGCGCCCGGCCCAAGTACAGATATTTTTAACTTAGTTTAACTCAGAATTTCCCAAACTAACTTGAGTACAGGACTTCCCCTCTCCTGCTATAGGTATTAATAACCTCAAGAATAGAGTTCTTAAAGATACCAATTTAGAAAATGCAGACAAGAGTTACTAAATAAAGGTCATTTAAAAAATTAACTGTTAAAACAAAACTAATCTTCAAGAGGCAACTGCCACATTATAACAGTAACAGCATTTATCATTTTACATGTTCAGGTCCACTATTCACAGATGACAATATTCCCTGGGGAAAGCCTAGACCCTTCTATATATCTTTCAAGATATCCAGTGCAATGACTTCCTCTCAGCAAATAGGTATTGATTTATCCATATTTTAGGAAAATTACCAATTTACTTTTCTGTAATTCTACTGAGATTGTAGTTATTATTTTTTAAAAAGCACATTTATACTAGGATTTCAGAGAATGCAATAAGGGATAAGCAGGGGCTATGTAACAGCACATGCATATTTACGTTACTTTGCCTCCATTACTTCCATTATCTTCCATTACTTCACCTTATTGTAGGTGGTTCACATAATTGTAGTGTAAAATTGTGATAGTTCCCAGGGCATCAATTCAGCAAATATGTATTGAGTGTCCACTATTTGCTAGTATTGTAATAGACACTAGACATACTATTAATTTGCTTGTTTCTGAATTTTGACATAGAGCAGTTTTAATTACATTTAATTCAGCAAATATTTGCCGAGCACTAGGCTTATAGAACTGATAGAATAGGTTTGAACTGAGGCTTGAAGATGCAGAATTTTATAAATCAAAAAAGGTCCAGAAGGGTATAACAGACATTCCCCAATTGTGAGTCAGTACTAGGGAAATTTGGTATTTATTTAATACATTAGTTATTCCATTAAATTACTTCTTCCGAGAAACAAATAATTCTAACAGAGGAGTTTATATATACATTTTGGTTATCATTATTTTTATACTTTTTCTTTATACTGTTATAAATTGTGTGCTGTGCAAGAAATAGTTCTATCTAAAAGGGAACAGAGAAAAATAAGACTCATGCTTTTAGTCACCTATTTTGTACTACAATATAGAAAGGAAAATGATTAATTTATATTTTACTTTAAAAGCCTATTTTTAATTGAGAATATATGCAACCACAAGTAACACTGGTTTGAATTTCTAATCTATCAACTTTGTTTCAGTAACATAGTATTGACAAAACTCATTAATAAATAATTTTTATGCTGTTAATAATGAATTGACATTTATTTTAGACACTTAAAATGAGTAGTACCAGTGTCACAGAATCCTTATCAAACTCCATGGTTATATGAAAGTGAAAACGAACTTCTTTTCCTTACATGTTCTTGTACGGTACTAATTTTTTTCAAACCTGTGTCTCTACTTGTCTTACGGGCCTCCTGTACCTTTCATGAGTTTCGGCTGTTCACTACCATCCATCAGAGGAATGGTCAGGTCTTATTTTCTCTCAGGAAAAAAAAAAGCGTTGTAATATTCTCTCCCTTAATTTTAAAGTTTAACTTTGTTACTTTTGACAAAGCCTTTCCTTTGGTCAAATGCAACGATCCAGTAAAAAGAGCTTTGACATGTTGTGCCTTTTATGTGTGCATTTTTCTGGTTTCACTGATGTCCTGAATTTTGCAAACGATATCGTGTGCCTTCAAGTTCTCCTATAAAATGCCATTTGTACACTGAGGCAAGAACAGTTTAGGACAACATTACATTCACATGACTTTAAAGTCCAATAAATACTTGATGGTTTCTCAGAAAACCACAATTTGGTGAAATGGACGCAAAACTGTTTTCCAGTCTGTTTCTCATAAAACCTCCCCCAGATACACATTCACTTGCTTACCTGCAGGGTAGCGCTCGATCACTGGCCAGCTGTCCACCTGTAATGTGGCATTGCCACCACTCCTCGTGAAACGGACTACGTGGTATTTCCCATCATTGATGATTGCATTAGACTCTTCAATGGCGATGTCATCTGTCCCAACATTAAACTTAACTCCAATTTTTCCTTGGTGCTGGAAGGGAGAAGGAAAAAAAAAAAAGAGTTGTATTAAGTTGCACTGATTAGTCAGCATTTAATAAGAATTACATACAAAGTGTTGTTCAAGAATGTGCTTTGAACAACAGCTGCTTTCCTCCAACTTTACTTCTGAAAAACTTCTGAAGTAGAGGCAAGATTCTTTACATTTGGGTAAATTTAAGACATTTCTTTCATGGATAATATTCCATAAGACAAAGTTTCAGGGGAATTGAGCTGCCTTCTTCGCAGAGGTTGCCACGGAGAAGGGGCACAGCTGCCTGCATGAAAGGACATCATTTCGTGTCCTTGAACATAGCTCCTTTAATCCACTCTCCCCATTTCACAATGAAAATGAGGCTTGAAATTCTTCCTTTTAATAACTGGAGAATTCAGAACAATCAAGTCTGTTTAGAGCCAATTGACAAATGTTCACAAGATAGAAAGTCATTCTAAAGGGTATAGAGCACACAGACAGTTATTTAATGGGTACATTTTCTTAGTCACTATTTATAAAACCATCAAATAGTAAGAGACTGAAACATTGCATTTCTTTATTTTATAGATGATGAAACAATGACATAAGAAGGTGCAAATATATATTTACTTGTTCCATTCCGGGTAATGGAATAGTGACGTACTACAACTATTAAATAAAATTCAGTTCCCTCATTATTGGATTATAACTAAAGTGGAAGCTAAGATACAATTATCTAAAATTAACCCACTCTCTGAATTATGCAAAGCAGCATTACAAATCATTCTAACTGTAAAGTTTTTGCTGTTAACTTTAGAATTCCGCAATACATGGTGGCAAAGAGAAAGGTATGCTGTGACCTCTGCTTCTGAGAAGCATCCTCCAACAGGACTGTCAACTCTACCATAAACTCAGCTGATTTTAAAAGCATGTGGACATGCCCTTAATCACTAACACAGAATACCTGCACTCCAGGCTCTTGTCGGAGTACATAACCTCAAACTGTTGTTCACCTTTCATCAAACCTCAGTTGAGAGGAATGACATGGGGGAAGAAGGGTTTAAAGTCATCAGACCATCCATTCCTACATAAATTTTAAATTAGAATGTTAGAAACCTGAAGGTTTGGTCCACATTATTTGCCGGCTTCTCATCACTGAATTAGGCAGCAAAAAATATGGCATCAGCTAACACTGAGAATCTCTATAAAAATATTGGATAAAATTGCATTAATTTAAGGAAGATATTTAAGGGTATTATTTTACAACATTGTTCATTAGCCTCGTCACGTAGATATCCTAAAAGTTTTGTTCCCCCCCTTGGTTCTTATTGTACATAAAGGATCTCTTTAAGTTAGTATGGTTTTTAAATTTGTTTTGATTTGTTTTAGGCTTGATGAATATAACTTTAAAAAAATCACATTTTTAACATTATTAAATGTTTGTTAAATCAAGATAATTTATTATATCTCTTAAATGAGATTATTTTTTTCTTTTTTTATTTCAGGGTATTATGAGGGTTACATTTTATGTCTTTGCCTCGCCCAAGCGAGGGTTAGAGGCATGCCCTTCCCCTCTACAATGCTCACTGTGTCCTTTAGTTGTGATTTTATCACGCCCCATCCCCTTAATTCCTGGAGAATATTACTGCCATGTGAGCACCCTAGTGTTCATCAGTTAGTACCAATTTGATGGCGAGTATAAGTGGAGCCCATTCTTCCGATTTTGTGATACCTCACTTCGGACAATGTGCTTAAGTTCAATCCGGGAAAATATAAGAAGTGCTAGATCACTGTCATTTCTTATAATTGAGTAATATTCCATCGTATACATATACCAAATTTTAATAATCCACTCATAGATTGACGGGCACTTGGGTTGTTTCCACATCCTTGAAATAGTGAATTGTGCTGCCAAAAACATTCGGGCACAGATGTCTCTATTATAGAATATCCTTTTCTTTGAAAATTTCCTGTGGAGTTATATCACATGTGTATTAAAAGTATATATATATATATATACACACACACACACACTATATTAAATAATTTACTGAAAATGAACAAATAGAAATTCTCGTAAAATGAGAAAATAATAAGTGCTTATGAAAATGGGCTAAAATATTTTAAAAGTCTCCATAGGCTCTTATATAAAATTTCCATTTTCATTGGAATTCTCTTTATTGCCTGAATTATTCTACACAAAATGTAAATGCCTTATAGTGACATATATTTAAAAGTAAGGATAAGAAATGTGGTGGAAAACAGTAGGTCCAGAGGAAAACATACTAAAAGTCTATGTACTAGGAAAATTACACTACCCACTTTGATTCTGAGTTTACTAACAACAAAAATGTACATAGTATTCTAAGCACTTTACAAATACTAACTCTTGTATTCCTCATAACAGTCTTACAGGGAGATACTATTACATCCCCATTTTACAGATTAGGACATTGAGGCACAGAGATATTAAGCAGCTTGTGTAAGGGCACACAGTAAGAAAGAAAAGCTGTGATTCAGAACCAAGCAGTCTGCCTCCAAAGTCTGGGCTCTTAATCATTACACAGGCTGAATTTAAGACTATTGTGCCATCCAGTAGCTGCAGTTAGCAGATTTGGTAAATCTAGCAGTCCTTTGTTACCTGTTCCATCTCTCCTTCTAGAACAGCAGCACCATAGGGCCTTGTATTGTGCTTTGAAGTTAGTAGACATGCATCAATCAATGTGTGCTTAAAATAACTTTGTAATAAATAGTAAGCAACTGATACGTGGATGTAAAAATGGATTCTTTTTGTTTAAGCTGAGATGTTAGGATAAGATAATAACCCAGAAAACAGATTACTGTTTCCATTTTACAAAATGTACTATAGGATTACTTAAACTAGATTTGCAAAGGAGAACATTAAGAACTGCTTTCACAGCCCTGAATTAATTACCAATGTTCGGTCCATCAAAAAAGCCGGAAAAGCCAAGAGGAGATTGATAATTAGAAGAGAAATTTTGGAGAGAGTTGGGATGTGATGTGATTTGTACATACCTCCAAGGTAGAAGGTTACTTTTTCCTTATCTCAAGTGCACTGGAAAGCTACTTTAATGAAACATCTCAGAAAGTTTGATATGTGTCTTCTGGAACTTGGTGGAAGTGGTCAAGGTAGTCAGTAAACTGGGATTTGACTAGACCTGAGAAATCTTCTGGAACTGTGGCTGGCTGATGCCGGATGGCTGAGCAAAGAGACATTACTACACCAGGGGCCACTTGTGCATCAGAATTTGTAAGAACAAAGAACACATAAGCATTGCCCACGGACCATGGTTCAGAGAGCCAGTGTAGGATCGTGTTGTATTCTGTTCAGTGGGGCCACCAAAGGGACCGGGCTGAGGGGTGAAGAAAGTTCACTTTCAGCAGAAAGAACTTGAACTTGCAGTGATGGATGCCAGGGGCTGAGGCGGGAATCCTAAATGAAGGAAGTACATTTACCCATCTCAAGGGAATTGCAGGTAAGGAAATCCTAATGATGTGGTTCAGATCTCTAAAGAATCCACCAAAATATTTTCAAAAAATGCTCAAGAGCTTTATACATAGGCTAAGCCCAGATAGATGGCGACTACAGCAATAGCCAAGGAAGGTCATTTCTGCCCCTATGTCTTCTTCTTTTTCCTGCTTGGATGAATCAGAGAGGGAGAGGAGAAGTGATGAAAGTCATGGAAACAACAAAAAAAGATTATGTTTCTCTTCTAGTGCAAATGGGGGCTCCAATGTGCCCAAAGCAGGGATAATGGAGAGGCTTTAACTGAAGTTCTATCACGACAGAGTGACGTGATGTTACTTTCTATGTCTAAAAATGAACAGATGACATTTTTACTATCTGAGAGTGACCAAAGTATTGTTTAGGCTTCCCCTGGACTTCCCTGGTGCTCAGGAAGAAATATTAATATTTTCACAGAACAGATTTAAATTTTTATTGCATCCTAGGAAGCAGCTCTTTCAACATAAGAAGTACATGAAAATTTGTGTTACTCTGGAGTTGCCCATTGTTTTAGGGTCTCTTCTATTATACATATGTTCCTTATCTAGGATAGACTGGAAAAATTTCTTGAAGTTTCCTATCTGTTCTGTTTGGAAGGCACAAGAGTAGATTTTCATCAGAGTTCTAACTATTAAGGAGGTCCAAGTTCTATAAACAGATGCATTGCAATGCTAATGGTAAATGCACCGCACTTTGAAATAAGTCCCTTTACCTTATCTTTAAATTTTCCTACAACGTGAAATGTAAAATGCGTATTTTCCAGGTGCAGAAATCCCCAGATTTCCTAGGGTTTAATTTCTTGCAAAATAGTGAAATAAACAATTAAGAAACAATGAGAGTCACCGATGTTTGGAGAGCATCTGACTTTTAAATTATGCCCATCTCTTCTTGAATATGTTGATTTGTTGCCTCAACTTCGAACATCTTTGACATCTCATTGATTCAAACTCTAGAGTTAGCTAGCTAGACTAGAACTGAATACCATAAAAGTATATTCAAACCACAGGCCCTACCCTAATTCAGACATTATCTACCCCATCCCAATTTGCATCAAGGCCTTGAAAAACAATTTAAGTATCAATTATAGCCAAAGGGTCAGTTTTTCCCTGAAAACAAATAAATCTAAAATGTACATAAAGCATAAAATATTAATATCAAGTGTATTTATAGGACCAATATTTATAATTCCACTCAGAAACTACAGATATTCTAAAAACAAAATCCTCCCCTGTTGACAGGATAGCAAGTCATTTCAATCACATAAACAATAAAACTTGCTAAACTTTCTTGCCAATGGATAATTACAATTTAAAAGAATTCATTTCAAATTCTTTTTCTCTGGGATTAAATGTGATTGTCTCAGCAAATTCTCATGAATATTGCATTAGCAAAACCAGCAGTCATTTCGCTGGACATACTCTGATCTCACAGTATTGCATCTTCCTTGAAATAGATAACTGGCTCAAATCACAATTTCAAAAATCTATTATGAGAG